GGTGACTCTGTCCATCAAATAACTTGCAAGTGTCTGGGACATCTGTGATTGTCCTGACTGGGGGGGCAGGAGTACCACCGTCATCAACTAAGGGAAGACCAGAGATGTTGCTGCACACCTACGATACACAGCCCTCCCTACCCAGGAAAATTGACTTTGACGTCCAGACTATCAACTGCTCCTTCAATGGGCTCCATAGCTCCCACCACAAAGGAGGCGGTCAAGCTGACCTGACTCTGACCACCAGCTAGTGAAGACCCCCACCCAGGTCCTGGCCAAGCCTCCTAATGTGGCAGCACTGCCCTCTGCTGGGTTTTCTTCAAGAACTGGGTCTTCCCCTGGGAGGGAGTCTAAAGCAGTTCTCTCTCCAGGAGGAACTGGGTCCTGGGAGTGCCCAGCATGTCAGGTCTCTGAGAAGAGGACACAAGATGGCAGGATATCAGCCCTACAATGCACTTGAGAGCCCAGAGGGACCCAGCCTTAGGGATGGTACTGCTGCCAGGCCCCACTCCTTGTTCTGAGCCAGCTCACAGAGGAAGACCCCACTCTGACAGCAGAGAAGCGCCACCACCTCCCTGACCTCAGCCCTGCCTGGCTGGGCATCCCTGGAGATACAGGGCTTAGTTCCTCCAGGGAACACTCAACTTTCTAAGAGCAAGTGTGTGTTCCCACAAGTCCAGTAATTCTGTCTCTCCCAGGGCAGAGTACCATGCCTGACCCCCCACTGGGCACCAGGTGCTCCTGGTGTCAGGGGTCTGGCAGCAAGACTTTGGGGGAGACAGCAGGCAGCACTGGGTCTTCACTGCTGCACTCAGCCTGGCTCCTACCCACTGACACACATGCACAGGTAAGGAGCTTCCCCTGCCATCTGTGAAATGGAGACGATCCTTACAACCTCTGTGTGCAGGAACACACAGAGCCCAATCAAGCACGCACTGCGAGAACCCCAAGGAACACTGCCTGGCCACACACTGGCCTGGCTCAGGAGATGCGCCCAAGGCCAGGGCTGCAGTGCCAGCACAGGGAGCTCAAGGCCCTGTCGCACCTCAGCACCCTGACTGCTACTTGGGAGTGGTCTGAGGCACCTCTGCTCCAACCACACACCCAGTCCCTGACTTGGTCCCCTCCCTCCTCTCTGGCCCTGCTTGACCCAATCCTATTCCCTACAGAAAGCACAGTCCTGGGAAGCACTCTAGAAGGCTCTCTGCACTTGACTCAAGTCTCTGACGCCATGGACACACTCCTTGGAATATGTGCTATCAATGCCTGAGCCCAGGACGACTCTTGGTAATTCCCACTAGACTCACCCCTAAGCCTGACACCCCAGACCAGAACCAGAGGTCCTCAAGGGCTGAAGCACTGTCTCTTACCTATGGCTGTCACTCACAGCCCAACCTGCGCTGGACAGCACTCTCCCTGGTGGTGGTGGAGGCCAGAGAGGGACAATCCGCCAGAGACCCTGGAGTCAGTCTTGTTGTCGTGGCTCTTCTCACCCATTCCTTCACTCAGAAGGAAGTTGTCATCTGGGGGGAGCTTCGGCAGGAGTGGGGAAGCCAGGGCTTTGGGGCACATAAGGGATGTCAGGTGGGTCCTCTTGCCCCCCACCCCCACCCAGCCCCCAGGCCAGTCCTAAAAGAGCCCAATACTCAGAGGATGGCCACTGTCCCTCTGACCCAGGAATACCGTCTCACCTGCCCTTCAAGTCAGAGCTCCAGATGCTGCCATCCCCTGAGGCCAGTTCCTGCCTGTCTCAGAGCCCCAGTGAGCCCTAGTCCTCAGCAGGAATGATGCTCCTCCCACCTCAGATGGCCCACAGCTCCCTGAGGTCCCAAGCCCAGCCTTGTTGGCAGTTGTGGTATGGGAGACCAACCTCACACGTGACTGAGTCACACTCCCCGGCTGGGTGCTGAGGCGCTCCGACACAGAAATGTGACAGAGCTTTCCCCACCCTTCTTGGGTTCGAGGGACAGTGCAGGGGTGTGTCTTGCTACAGCCCATGGATGGAGCTATGCTCACCTGTTCCTTTGTAATATATCCCTTTGCCCGGTTTAGGGTAGAATCTTGCATGGAAGTGCCTTGTGTGTGTCCCCTTCTTTTACTGTGCCCTTGGGTGTGGCCTACCCAGGTGTCAGTCAATCTGTTGACAGTGGACATCATGAAGACAGAATCAGCCCCCTGAAACCTGACCCCTTGCCTCATTTGAATGGCTTTTCCTCAATAAAAGGGGTCAGCGCATGCTCTTGCTCTCTCTTCCTGCGGACCCTTAAGGTCAGAGGAGCCGTCACAGTGACCCCAAAGAAAAAGGTATTTGTGTCTCTTGTGTGGTTATTTTGCGCAGCCCAGTTAGTCCAGTTTTCCTGGAGTGACCCTGAGCCTTTTAGTCGCCAACAGAAACCCAGCGTTGTGGGATAAGGCACTCCTTCCCTCAGCTTTGGTTTCTCCCCTGAGCACCTAGATCAAGGCCATGGTGATCTAAGGAGCTGAGCTCAGTGCTATAGCTCCACAGTGCTCCAGGGTGGATACTGGCTTCACACTTCTACCTCCATTTTGCTCTCAGTTCCAGGAAGCCACTGCCCTGTCCACATGGAATCCCCCAAAGAGGCCAAGTGAACATGGACATGAGTTTGTTCTGTCTTTTGTTGCAGAAGCAAAGTTGGACACAAAAGTGCTTAGCAAAAAATAGGGGCTCAAAAACCAAAATGGAAGTCACAAAGAACTGACACCTGCTGGGTARAAGCAAAGGGCAGCAGAAGGGCTGCCTCTTCCTCTACTCTTCTACAGAGTCCAGATGGACACTGTCAAGGCTGGGCAAAAGAGGCTGACCTGAAGGCAGGCACTTCTTGTAATCCCAGTGACTCGGGAGGCTGAGGCAGGAGGATGGGAAGTTCAAGGCTAGCCTCAGCAACTTAGCAAGATCCTAGGGAACTTAGTGAGAATCTGTCTCAAATTTTTAAAGAATTAAAAGGGCTGGGGGGCTGGGGATGTGGCTCAAGCGGTAGTGCGCTCGCCTGGCATGCGTGCGGCCCGGGTTCGATCCTCAGCACCACATACCAACAAAGATGTTGTGTCCGCCGAGAACTAAAAAATAAATATTAAGAAATTCTCTCTCTCTCTCCTCTCTCACTCTCTCTAAAAAAAACAAAAAAACAAAAAAATCCAAACTATGGCAGGTTTTTAAAAAAAATAAAAATAAAAAAAAAAATAAAAGGGCTGGGAATGTGGCTCAGTAGTTAAGTGCCCCTGGGTTTGATCCCTGGTACCCAAAACAAGCCAACAAAGTGAGGGTTGAACTGAGGTGGGGCAAGGTGCCTTCTAGAAGGCAAGGACACTTCCTCCCTACCAGAAACTGGAACAAGGCTATTCGTTCTCCACCAGCAAAATGGAAATGCAGCAGCTGGCTGGGTAAGCAGACGCGTTTCCCCGAAGGACTGTGGGGCACACAGAACATCACCAAAGGAACTCAAAGAAATGGCCTTTTGGGAAACAAAAGAAACTTACCAAAAGGCTGTCATGGCATAAAGGGACAACCTGAGGAATCAACACCCCTGACTTCAGAAGGCTGGAAAGCAATGCCCAGAGGACTCAGAAAGCCAAAACAGCGGGGTGTGGCTCAGGGGTGGAGTGCTTGTCCAGCATGTACAAGGCCTTGGGTCCCACCCCTAGAATTGTGTGTGTGTGCGTGCGCACACACACACACAATGAGGGTGTCTGTGGATTGAGGGAGCAGTGAGGAAACTAAGTCAGGCTGCTCTTGCAGAACATCACATAAGACCAGCAAGAACATAGATGAAGTCAAGAAACTACACTGAGCCTCGTGGCCACAGAGAAGCCTCCCACATGCACTCCCCAGCCATCCCCACCTCTGGCTGCGGTATCTGTGGGCACACCAACTTTCCTAGCTCCACAGTGCTAGGAAACAGCAAGTTCCTGAGAGGAGACCTGCATCTTATGCAGCTCTGAATCCATCACCTCTGGCCCAGCGAGGGTGCCAAGTGTCAGGTGCAGAGCTGGACCAGGAACGCACTGCAGACTGCTGGGTGCAGGTGTGGGTCCTCTTGGCAGAGCTACATGGGAAACCTGAGAAACGGAAAACCATTCTCTTTTCTCTGACAAAGGAAAACAGATCCAAGATCTAACCTAGCAAGAGTGCTCCTCTTTTTAAGTCAGAAGATCCTTAGCCCAAAAATCACTACCTTAAGGAGAATGTGAGACATGTCTGAAAACAACACTGGATGAAGAAACCTGTGGTTGAAGAAATAAGGACCCGAGGGAAGGCGACAGCCACTCCAGAGAGACAGAGGTCACCAGGAGGAGTGTGAACCACACTATGCTGGATCCCGGCTCCCAGCCTGCGCCTGCGCCCTGCTCCTCTGCTCCAGTCCAAATCCTCACAGTGCCCCAAGTCTCACCTCATCTCCCACCTCTCACAAGAGACCCTGCTGACCCCTCGCAGCGCTCAAAGGCTGCCATGACAGGAGGGTGCGACACTTAGTCCACCCAGGTCCTCTGCCCAACGAAGAGCAGGGCACTCCCTGGAAGGCCGCGCCCGTCCCAGCCAAGTGGATTCTGACTTACTCCCTGTTTGCTGGACAGACAGCAAGTGCTCCACGACCCTCGGGACACAACTACTGAAAACAGCGGTGCTGTCACCAGAGGCGCGGCTGGGACGGGTCCTGGACGTGAACAAGGGCTGCCACAAGCCCACGGGGCCGGGGAGCGGCGGGAAGCCCGGCGGCCGGGCGCGGGCCCGCTTCCCCCGCCCCGCGACAGGCCCGGAGGGCGCGTCCGCCCGTTGCTCACAGCGCCGCTGCCCGAGAGGAGGCTCGCAGGAGGGGAGGCTCAGGGAGGCCCAGACCCTCGCCCGGGACGCCGGGCGGGGGGACCGCGGCCCGCGAGCGGGTGGGGAAGGGGCTGGGCGGGGAACCGGGGCGCGGGCAGGCCCGGCGGTGCGGTCCAGACCCAGGCCCGGAGCCAAGACCCGGTGGGCGAGCGAGCATTACCTGCTGCGGCGGACGCCGCTCCGCCACCGCCGGGCGCGCCAGGCCCCCGGGCCCCGCGGTGCCGGAAGTGGCAGTAGGGCCGCCGGCAGGGCCCCCCGGGCGCCCCCGCCCAGTAGGGGCAGTCGATAGCCCGGAAGAAGCCAGTGGAACGTAGCATGATCCGTCCCGCGGCGGGGCCCCGGCCCGGAGCCGCCCGGGGCCCCTCACTGGCGCCGCGGTCGTCGCCGCCCGCGCCTCACGGACCCCGCCGCCGCCATCTTGCTCCGAGGCCCCCGGAGGCCCCCGGGACGCCGCCGCAAGGGACCCCGGGAGGGGCTGCCCGCGGCGTGCCTGCTCAGAAAGGCCTACGGCCGCGAGGCCGCGGGGGGTGGCGGGCCCCGGCTCCGGGACACAAGAGAGCTGGAGAGCGTGGGTGGCCCTGATCGCGGCCTCTGGAAGCTGCTCCCGCGCTGGCGCCAGGTCCTTCGCGGCACAGCCTCGCCATCTTGGGTCCCAGGCCCCTGCGGTGACTGGGCTGTCCACGGCGCGCCTGACTAGAGAGATCCCCTTGGGACCTGGCACAGTCTAAAAGCGCCGGCTGGAAAACCTGCCGGTCCTCGGGGCAGGTCTCCCTATGCTGTGCGGAGAGCCACGCGTGCGTCGCTCCGCGCCCACTCAAAATCCAGTCCGCCCCGGAGTACAGTTGGCTCTCAGTGAGTGCCTTAATAACCCCCCCACATGAACCCTGTCAGCAGTGGAATCCCCTGGTCTACACTCTCTTTAGAGGTTCAGGAAACACTGGGTACCACCGACTGTAAACCAGGCCTTGCAGCAGAACCAGGCATGACAGGGAGACTCAGGCTCCTGGGTTAAGCCCGCATCTTCATGGGAGTTTGCAAGAACAGCCGGGTGCATTTTGGTGGGATTGTAAAATGGACCTCGAGGTCATTATGCTCAATGAAATAAGCCAGACAACCTACTGCAGGACTCCACTCACAAGGGTCCCTCGGATCCACAGAGACAGGAAGTCGCATGGCGGATGCCAGGGAGAGCATGGGGAGTTAGTGCTGAATGGGGACAGTTTCAATTTAAGAAGTTGAGAAAGTTCTGGAGACAGAGGATGGTTGTGTTTGCACAACAGTGATGCTCTTTAATGCCTCTGAATTGTGCGCTTTAAATAGTTACATTGGGAAAGTTTTTTTCATGTTATATAGCATGTGTCAGAGCCTGGTTCCTTTTCATGGCTGAGTAATATTCTGGTGCAGAGTGGGCCACATTTGTTTATCCATTCATCTAAGGATGGGTATTCGTGTAGCTTCTACTTTTCAGCTGTTGTAGACAATGCTGCTTTGAACGTTTGTGTACAAGTCTTTGCACGTGTTTTTATTTCTCTTGGATGGATACCTAGGAAAGGCCTCCCTGGGCCACACTTTATCTACATTCACCTTGAGGAAGTGCCATTCTGGAAGTGGCTTCTCATTGTGGTGGTTATTTGTACTTTCCTGTGGTTTAGTGCTGTTGAGCATCCTTTCGCAGGCAGACTGGCCATTTGTATCTCTTCCTTACAGAAATTCCTGTTTAGGGTAAGAGAATTCAGTGAGGAAGTGGTATTTAGACAGAGACCTAGATGGAGGGAAGGGAAGAGCACCCAGAAGATCTGGCAAAGAGTTCCAGGCAGAGGGCACAACCCAGGCCAAGGCCCACACAGGACTGGGCCTGGGGTTTTGGAGGCACTTGTGCTGCAGCAAAGGCAGCAAGCCTTAGGAAGGGAGGAGGGGAGGCAGGGAGAGGCTGAAACAGGTGGGCAGGCCTGGTGCACCATGGGGGGGACTTGGGCTTTGACTCCCCTGGAGGCTGTTACCAGGGAAGGTTGAAGGCACAGGAGGACCTCACCTGGGTGCTCACAGGCCCTCTGGTGGCTACTGTGGGAAGGACACACTGGAGGCACCACAGAACTTGGGCCGAGGTGCTAACTCTGGTCTAGGTGAGGAATGCTGGGACCAGATCAGATGAATCCCTAAAAGTGGGGAGAGGAGTCGGGGTGTGGCTTGGTGGGAGAGGACTTGCCTGGTATATACGAGGCCCTGGGTTCAATTCCCAGTACCACAAAGAAAAAGTGGGAAAAAGTGATGGATTCTGAGTATATTCTGTGGGGTTTTGGTGCTAGGGATCAAGCTCCAAATATATTTTGAAGATAGAGCACAGGGGAGACTTCAAAGTGGACTGGAGGTGGGCAGTAAGAAGAGGTGAGTCCAGGCAGGTGCGGTGGCACACACCTGTCATTACAGCGCCTCGGGAGACTTGAGTCGGGAGGATCACAAGTTTGAGGCCCATCTGGGCAACTCAGCAAGACCCTGTCTCAAAATAAAGGGTGGGCGGGCTGGGGATGTGGCTCAAGCGGTAGCGCGCTCGCCTGGCATGCGTGCGGCCCGGGTTCGATCCTCAGCACCACATACCAACAAAGATGTTGTGTCCGCCAAAAACTAAAAAATAAATATTAAAATTCTCTCTCTCTCTYTWWAAAAAWAWAAAAWAWAAAAAAAAAAAWAAAGGGKGGGGGKGGGGGCAGGGTGCTGGGCGCAGTGGTGCAGGCCCGTAATCCTAGCAGCTTGGAAGGCTGAGGCAGGAGGATCACAAGTTCAAAGCCAGCCTTAGCAAAAGCCAGGCACTAAGCAGCTCAGTGAGACCCTGACTCTAAAAGAGGGTGGGATGTGGTTCAACCAAAACAAACAAATCGACAAAGGGGCTGGGGTCAGCCGGGGTCCTGGCCTGTGAGGCACTGGGTTCAACTCTCAGCACCACACATAAATACATAAAAGAGAGGTCCATGGACAATTAAAAAGTATTTTTTAAAAATGGGGGCTGGGGTGCAGCTCACTGATGGGGCACTCATGTAGCCCATGCAGGGACCTGGGTCTCACCCCAGCACCACAGAAGAACAAAAAGAAAAAAGAAAGGCCAGTCCAGAAGGCCCACGGTGTGAACATGGGGTTGCCACAGACAACACAGAGGGGGGACATGGCAGGGCCGGCCGAAGGCCAAGCGGGGGATACCTGTTTGTGTGGGGTTGAGGGAAGGACCAGGCTGGGGCTGGTCAGGGAGTGAGGGTGGACCAGCATGGGTTGGGGCTGGAAGCAGTCCGGTGAGCGGGAATGGAGTACACAGGAGATGGGGGTAGGAGGGGTCACCCACGTGGGCCAGGGGTCCAGAGGCCACTCAAAGCCTGTAGCTCCGTGGCAGAGCGCGTGCCTAGCATGTGTGAGGCACTGGGTTCGATCCTTAGCACCACATAAAATAAGCAAGTAAAAAGTAGAGGCATTCTGTCCATCTCCAACTATAAGAAAAGAAAAAAGAAGGAACGATGGTGTTTCTGGGCCACGTGGAGGGTCCAAAGCCCGGAGAGAGCTGAAGAGCAAAGCCAGGCGTGCAGCCCCCGCTCCAGGAGCCCAGCCCCTAGGGAGAGGTCCAGCAGGAGCTGGAGGGCTGCGAGGTCCGGGCTGTCTGCAGCACTGGGGACGAGTGAGTAGCAGCCAGGGGAGGCCGTCCTTCAGGGCCGCTGTCCTCCATAAAGGCAAAGAGCCGGCGGGCGCAGCGGGCGGGACCCCGGGTACCAAGGAACGACCCTGCATAAGAGTTAAGGCAAGTGGACGCCAGCTGCGCAGTACCAAGGGTGGTCACCAGGTGGCGGGCCAGCGCCTTGCCTGGGCGGGACTCAGAAGAGGGCAGGTGCGCGGGGGAGGCCAGGGCTCTGAGATCTTTTCCCAGGGAGGGGCTCAAGCTCCCACCGGCTGCTGCTCGGTGCCCACGGGGGGCACTAAGCCTCCACCTGGCACCCACCCCCACTTCCCACTGGGAAGCTGGCAAACAGCAGGCACTCAGTACCTGAGTGGCAGGACGAGCGGCCCCAGGAACCTAGGGGGGGCACGGATGGGGAAGTGGGGCGCTCCTGAGGGGCCTTCCGGGGAGGAGCGTGTCGCCTACGCATTGGGGTGCAGCGCAGGCCCTCACGGCCCCACCAGAGCCGGAAGGGGAAGGGGGCAGGCTGGTGACGCCCCCGGCGGGCGTAGAGTCACCGTGCTCGTTGCTAGGTAACCTGGCGGGCGGGCGGGGGGCGCAGCTGCACCAGGCGTGGGTGACTGAGCAGTGCGCACTGCAGCAGGCCCCCTCCCTGGGCCTCAGGGCTGCGGGGAGCCGCATTGCAAGACCACCACCAAACCCCGCACCAGCCCGGCCTCAGCGGGCCCCCAGCAGGGGTCCCTCCAAGGGAACAAACCACAGAAGACTCTGGGGCAGGGTTTAAAAAATGGCTTTAATTCATTAAATACAAGGATGAGGCCAGGCAGGGTGGAGGAGGGGCGCCGCCCACGGAAAGYACAAGTCCCTTGGGGCTCCCCCCCTGCGTCCCCTTCAGAGGCCACACCTAAATGGCTGGAACTGGGTCCCAGAGACCGCTAGCTCCCGGGGTCGGGGTAGCGGGGAGAGCAGGCTGCAGTCTCTGCCTCTAGATACCAGAGAGGGGCCATGGCTTCAGAGGACTTCCCAGCTTCCTGGGTCCTGGAAGCACAGTCCCACCCCTGCAGAGGACAGGCCCTGGGGGAGCTGGTACCAAGCAAGACACATCTGACACAAGGAAAAGGGAGTCCCAGCCCCCCCACCCCACCCCAGGGACTAAGGCATCTGACACTGGAGGAGGGTGTGCAAACAGATGCACCTAGCCTGCAAGGACCCTGGGAAGGACTGGGGTGCAGGCTGCACCGGTAGACCCTCCGAGCCCAGCTCCAGAAGGGCATGGTGCCCTGCCTCCCACCACCCCTGCCTTCCCCTGCGTCTGGCCTGGAGTTGGAGCCAGGAAGAAGCCAGAGTCACCCAAACTCCCAAGCCCCCATCAGGGGACTGGAAGGTTCCGAGAAGTGGGCGTGCCAAATTCCTGCAGCGCCTCAGGACAGGCAGACCCTTTCTAGGTCTGGGGCAGGACCCTGGATCCCTCTCCACTCCAGCACGGAGGCCCTGGGTCCTTCTTCCAAAAGGAAATCCAAACCACAGTGGGGAGACCCTGGAGAGGCTCTGCCTGGCAGGTTCTCCTACCCACCCCACTCACAACCCCTGAGGACATCGGACCACCCACGGGGCCAAACAAGAAAGGGATTGGGGCCTGAAAAAATATTCTATCCGGTCCAAAAAAAACGAGCTATCCCCGCAGGCTGAAGAGCGGGGCCTCCTGCCTCTAGTGTCCGAGCCCAGGGGCCACTCCTTTCAGGCACCCAAGAGCAAGAGGGACTTGAGGGCAGAAAGCCCAGGGTCGGATAGAGCCCGAGAGCTCCACTACCGGCCTGGGCAATAGCCCACCTGCAGGGCAGGGACCGCTGGCATCTGCCCAGTGGCCAGCAGGGTCCTGTACAAGATTGTCTGTCACACAATGCCACCAAGGCCAAAGCCAGGGCCCCTACCCCAGTGGAAGCAAAGAGGTCGGCCCACAGCACCAGCCTCCCCAGACTCTCACACACACACCCGGGGAGGGGGGCCAGCCAGCAGACAGCGGGCATAAATAACCAGCACACACACCCCACGCTGCCCCTCTCCCCAGGGAACCCCGGTTCCTTCCCTACCCCGGGCAGGGCCTGGGTCCCTGTGGAAACCCCAACACCTCCCCCTCCCTGGGGCCTAGGTGCTAGGCTGCCCCTCCCATGGGCAGAACCTATGGACACCTGAGATTGAGTAACCGAGTTGGGGGTGGCCAGGCTGCACCCCCATTTCCCTGAACGTCTCCAATGGCTTTCGGTAGGGTGGGGATAGGGACAGGCAGGAGTTCAAGGGAACCCCTGGTCCGTCTATGGCTCTGTGCACACTTCATCCCAACCTAGAGAGAGTGGCCATCCCCTCAGCCCCTGGTGCAAGCCCTGGGCAGGGGAAGCTCCCCTGGGCCCGCCCAGCCTCTCAACCACCACTGGGGCAAGACAGAGGGCGTCGGGGTGGGGGAGGGCCTGCGGGCTGCCCACCCGGGGCCCCTGCAGAACAGACAGGAAGACAGCTGACAATCATGGCTATATACAGACGCTGTCCAGGGCCGACTCCAAGGCTGACCCAGGTCCAGTCTCAGGCCCCTCCTTGCTTTCTTGAGGTGAGCAGGGGGCATCTTCAGGGTCTGCTGGAGGGGGCCTGGGGCTCTGGGTTGTTCCCCACGTGGGCCCCAGAGGGCAGACATGTCCTCCCGTTGCTGGTGTCCAAGCCAGGCCGAGCAGGGGACCCACGCCCAGGGCGTGTGAGCAAGGGCTCTACAGGCCTGCAGGGGCTGGGCTGGGCGCCGGGCTGGGCGCGGGGCTGCTGGCCAGGCTGCAGGGCAGCGAGTTGCTGGGCGAGGTGCTGCGGGTGCCTGGGCGACGGAGAAGCTCCGGGCGGAAGCCAGGGTGGCGGCGGGCGTGCTTGGTCAGGTGGTCGCTCCGGGTGAAGCGCTTGGTACACAGGGGGCAGGGGAAGCGCTTCTCACCTGTGTGTGTCCGGTGGTGGCGGGCCAGCTCATCGGAGCGGGCAAACTTCTTGTCACAGCCGGGCCAGTCGCAGGCAAAGGGGCGTTCACCTGGACAGAGGGCAGAGAGCAGTCAGGGGGAGGCAGGAGGCTTCCACAAACTTAAAGGTGCAACCAGCCCGGCATTTCTCAGCCCCTTCTCCAAGAGGCTGTGTTCAGATGCCAACGTGCAATGAGCAAATGGGGCACAGCTCAGTGGCAGAGCCCGGCACATGCCAGGGCCTGGGCTCTGTCCCCAGCACCACCAAAAGGAAGAAAACAAGACTAAAGTCACCCCACCCACCCCGGGGTCCATCAGGAACCCGCCACGAATCCCTTCCTTCTCTAGGTCCTAGAAACTCCGATAAAGAATGGTACCGGAACCTGGAGACTCTTGAGGATACAGTGTCCCCAGGTCTGCTGTTCCTCCCCCCCCCCAAGATGGGACAACATCCTTAGGAAGGATCAAAGGTCACCTAGTTTTAGGCTTTCTTCCGACTTGGAACCAGCAAGTTGGTTTGGGGAGTGGCTCCAAATGCAAATGAGCCACTCCACTCCCTCCCTGGAGGATTCTACCCCCAACCCCCAGTCCACCCTGGGGGGGGGGGCGCTATCCCAGAGCCTCCCCGGGGTCAGACATCCCAACCAAGCCCCTCCTCTTTCAAATGACCATCCAGTCGCAAAGAAGGGTGCAGTTTGGGCAAGTTCCCACCCAGAAGCCCCTGCACTGACCACTGTGTCCCCTCTCTGGACCAAGAACATGTGAAGAGCCCCACCCACGCACTCCCAGAGCCACCTGTAGCCTCCGACAATCAGGCTCTGCCAGTCACAGAGGCCTCGTCTCAACCTCCGTCTCCAGAGCCCCTGACGCAGGGTAGCAGCCAGGATCGAGCTCTCAGAGAATGACCAGCCAGAATGGTCACCATGTAGATAAGGACCCAGGGCTCAAGGGCGGGGCCTCTGGGAAGGGGCAGGGCTGCAGCTGGCCTGCCCCCCCCCCAAAGACAGATGGTGCTGGGCAGGGGCAGGCACTTCCTCTGCAAATCCCTCCCACCACTTGGCCAGCCGCGCCCATCCTTCCTGGAACCTGGGACCAGGGGCCAGGCCTGGCCGTCCCTCCACTTTCTCCAGAACTGGGCCCACCGACACCCCATGGAACCCGGCCTTCAGCACACAGCACACGACAACCCAGCACACAGGGACCTCCAAGGACCGGGGAGGGACAAGCCAGTGCCACTGAGATTCAGGGTCCACCCAGACCCCAAGGGCCTTGGACCAGCTCTGGCACTCGGAGCCAGACACACCCCAAGAATGCCCGTTTGGCCACGTGGAGGGCACCCAGAAGGCTGGGGTTCCTGTGTGCTCTCCTGCACCACTGAGCTTGACCTCCAGCACCCAACCCCCACTGCTAAGGACAGGCTCTGGCCAAGTTGCCCAAGCTGGTCTCGAATTTGCAATTCCCCAATTCCCCAGCAGTAGCCTCCTGGGTGGCTGGGATGACAGGTGTGTGCTGGCCTGCCTGGCTGCTCAAGGGTTTTGAAGGGTGGGGTGCACAGGGAAAGAGCTGGGCATGTTTGCGTGGGAATCTTCAAATGTGTGAGGCCCCTTGTGACACTGGATCGAGCCCCAAGTGGGAAAAAGGGAGATGAAGCACCAGGTACCCTGGTGACACCGAGGTCTAGCCTTAGGGAAAGGACTTCACGGCCAGGGTGGCAGTCCTGGAGCGGGGGACTGCATCAATCCAGGATGAGGGAACATGCCCACCAGCTGGGAGACGCTGGGAAAGAGGTGCAGAACTCGACAGAAAGGGATCCTTCAGCCAGGGACAGGGAAAAGCCCCCAGACAGAGCCAGGTATGGGGGGATACAGAGGTGACTGGGAACCTGCAGGAGGGACACCAGGATGACATGGTGACATCTCTGGTCTAAGCAGCTCAAGGGCTGCTCTAGGGGAGAGGACTGAGGAAGAGGTGGAGAAATGGTAGGAGGGGCTGGGCTGCCAAGAAGCACCTGCCATCACCCCATCAGGAAGGCGCCAAAGAAAACCCCCCTTCTCCAGCCATCCTCCTCCCTGCTGCACACCCACACCCCTGCACACAGACCATGGGTCCAAGCCAGCAGACACCCTTCAGGGAAGCTTCTGACCAGGTACCTCTGGAGGAACCAAAGGTCCAGAAGGCTGTGACCCCAAGCAGCTGTGGGATAGGAGCTGGAGGCAGGGAGCAATTRTTCCCCAAGACCACCAGATCCCCAACTCCCTGGGGGCTGCCCTCTCAATAGGACCCAGAAGCCCTAAACAGCCCGGAAAGAAGCTCCACCCCCCAGTCCCCACGGGGCAGATCTGACAGCTCCTAAGGGTCACAGTCTCGGGGAGGGGAGTCTGGTTATGGGCTGTGGGTGATGGCTTTGGCAAAGACCAAGAGATGAAGGGGCCACACTCCTTCCTGGAGTTGAGCCGACCGGTCGCCATCTTGCAGGGAGCAGCAGGGAAGGCCCTAGGGGAGAGGGGAGAGAGGCTCACTTCCCCATTCAGGGCCGCCAGGCTGGTCCCGCCTCCCAACGGCCCCTCTCCACCCCCAGTTCCACTTTGCAACCAGCAGGTTGTGAGACAGGCGAGTGGTGCCAGCGCCAGCCCGCTGCCGCTGGGAACACAGCTGCCGCACGTAGCTGCTCGGTGGCGGCTGGGACATCAGCAGCCCCAGCCGGCCCCGCTCACGTGGTCCTGCTCCCGCCAGGGAGCRGGGCGGGCTAGGGTCCCCTCCTGAGCGCGGGCCAACCGCGGCCCCACGCTGGGTGGCGAGGACACACGTGCGCACGTGGGCGGAGGTATGGGGGTGCGCAGCGTCCGGCACACGGCCGCAACATGCCTGGCCCCATCTTACCATCCTTTCTCGGGGGTTAATTTTTGGGAGGCAGATGGGGATGGCCCAGAGCTGAGTCCATCAGAACTCCAAATACAGCCACCTGGCACTGCGGGCTACCTGATTGGAAGGTGGCCACAGGAGGATGTGGTGGGTGGGGACCACGCAGGAAAGGCACTGTGGGCGGAGCCAAGGTGGACTTGACCCTCTGACTCTGGCAGGAAGGGTGAGCTCAGGACAGCAGGGCTGCCCGGGTGCCATGCAGGGTCAGGAAAACGGGAGGCCAACCTGCCACCCTGCCAAAACAGCTCAGCTGGGAGAGCGCTAGCCTTTAGACAAACGGAGGGACGGAGGCCAGGGCATCCGCAAAACCTGCGCCAGCCCCTGAGCTGCCTGTGGGAGGGCCTGGGGGTGTCAGTCTGGCTGAGGCTCAGGGCGAGGAGCAAGGGACCTGGATCAGCCAGGGAAACCTCACCTGAGACTGCCTAGTAGAAAGGGGGCATGGCCAGCTGTGCCCACCATGGGGGAGGGACACAGGGGAGGGACAAGGGCACTCCACAGATAGTAGTGGGTGGAGGAGGACCCTTTACACACACCCAGGGAGGGGCAGAGGAGGAGGTGGCCCTGAAGAGGTCCCACAGAATCCAAAGGAGAGTCTGGGAGCCATGGCAGAAAGGCTAGAAAACCATGGCCAGCCTGTGGGGTGGCACCACCTGCCCCAGGTCTTGAACACATCTGGTCCCTGATCACCCTACCCATTCCACTGCTGCGGCCCTCGGCCCTCGACCTCCGGAGCCAAAGCTTCCCACCATGTCACAAGCTTCCTCTTTGGAATCACTGTGCTGTTCCTGCCCAAAACATCAGCAGACACATCCCGGGGTCCTCACTCCCTCCCTTCCCCACAYGCCACCTGCCAGCAAACCCACCACCTTCAGAATCTCCAGAGCCCACATGGCTCTGCCCAGCCCTGCAGCAGCTGCTCAGCAGAGAGTGAGCACAGAGGTCTCCACCTGGGCTGTGCGCAGAGGGTACCCTGACTGCTGGTGGCCCCCACCTCCTGTGCCCTTTGTCAGCCTTCTTGTATCTCATGGTGATATCTAGACACCCCACTGTGAGCCAAGGGCAGGGTGCTGTGTGCACTGCTGAGTCCTCAGCAGGACCGGGCATGGGGCCTGTGCAGTCCTAGAGGACCAAGCTCAGGACTCCATTTACTTAAAGACACAAGGTCCACCAACAACCCAAGGCCCCTTGTCCCTCCTGGACCACCCAGCCTGTGTGGCCACTTCACACTCAGACTGGTACCTTCCTCTTGGGGCCTGAAGGCGGGGCGGACACACCCCTGCGAGGCTCCCTACCCAGGCGTCCAGCCCCCAAACCGAGGAGGCCAGCCTTGGCTGGTATCACTCACCAACTCCCAGCCCATCTGGGCCACTTTTATCAGGCAGTCTGGGTGGGGGATAGTTATCATCCCCCACAAAGTTGGGGGGCCCTGTTCCTCCCACCAGCTGGGGAGCCTGCAGAGTGGGGGAGGCAGTCTCTGGGCACCCAATGGAGGTGCACCTCAGTGCCCCTGGGCCTGGCATACCCCCTCCCAGAACTGCCAGTCTGCCCCTGTAGGCACTCACAGCTCTGCCTGCGAGACGGGCTGCTGTCCTTCTAGGCCCCCATCCCCAGTGCCTCCTCCTGGGGCAGTGTCACACCCTGCTGACATCTCGGGCTTCCCTATCAGAAAACTGAGGTCACCCTAGCCTCCCCCTGCACCCCATCCTCCCTGACCCCAACTGGCAGGTTGGCCCACCTCCCACCCTCCCTCCCAGGCCTGCTCCACCCTCAGCCCTTTCCACCCTAATCCCTTCTCCATAAACGGATTTTCCTCTGCCAAGCCCAGCCTGCCTCCCCAGCCCCGTCCTTGGGATCAGACAGCCCTTCACCTTGCCTGCCCTGCACCTCCCCACCTCAGAATCCAGGCCCAGGCCCAGCCCACTCCTCCCACGGGGGAAACCCAGCCTCCTGCCCCACCCACCCAGGCCAGGCGCAGGTCTGAAACCTGCTCCTCTGGGAAGCCTGGTTCTCCACAGCAGCAAAGCTCTCCCTCCCTCCTCGAGGTTTCACAAGTCCTGGGACAAGCTGGCCTGGCAGCACACACCTGTCATCCTACCAGTTCAGGAGGCTGAAGCTGGAGGATCCCAAGGTCGAGGCCAGACTGGGCAAATTAGCAAGACTCTATCTTAAAATAAAAATAAAGAATGAAAAGGGTTGGGAATGGAGCTCAAGGGTTAGGACAGGGACCAGTTTTGTCCCCCAGGGCTTTGCACAGCCTTGGCACACAGCAGACACTCAGTGAYACCTTTCAGACTTAGGTAAATTGGGACCTTAGAGAAGAGTGCAACAGGGGCTGACCCTGCAAACCCCTCCAGGGACACTAGTAGTTGCCACAACTGGGATGCTCCTGGCATGGAATGGGCGGAAGCCAGGGACACTGCTCAGCAGGCTGCAGTGCCCAGAGGGGACCTCTTCCAGGTCTGAGCTCCTCGGCTGGAAAGGGGCCAGACCCCCCCCCCCAGGCACACTGCTGACTGGACTGGGCACTGGGGGCCAGGGCCAGGGGGCTTCTGGGCATGGAGGATGTTCCAAGAGCAAGGAGTCCACAGCACGCCTCTCCTTCCACCCTGCCCCCACCCCATGCCTGGCTCACTCTAGGTATCCACAGCAACGGCATCAACATCTCCCACAGTTTCCAAAGTCCTTCCCCGCCCCACACAGGGGCACTCCACAGGGCTAAGAGCTGTGGGCACAGGGGCCTGTGGTCCAGGCTCTACCCACAGACCAGGTGGGGTACTCTTCTGAGAACAAGATCCTGCTGCTCCTCCTGGCCCCCCTCAGCCCAGGGTCAAATGTGGCCAAGCTGCTGGGGACACAAAACTTCACACTGCCCTTCTTTCTGCCCTGAGAGCTAAGCCAGACTGCTGTCCCCTTAGTGCAGGAGAAAGTCCCCAGGCAGAGTTGGGTAAGGACAGGATTCTCCCAGACCACAGCCCTACAGACAGCAGGTGACTAACAAYGGCATTCAGGGTGAACCCAGCTGGCCTGAGGACCCAGTAGGCCTTCCTGGCTTCCCCAGCAGGCCTAACAGTTGCCTTGGCCTCCCCTGAGGACTACAGAAACCAAAGCCCTTTCCATTAAAAGTGGCCCTTGGACGCTAACCCCACTGTGGTCCTGGGAGCGGAAGAGACCGTGAATGAGGAGTCATCCAGCACCCAAATGTCCAACCCACTAGAAAGTAAATCAGAGATGCCTGGGCCCAGGACTGTCCTCCTACCCACCAAACGTTCATCATAAAAGGGGCTTTGTGGTTGGGGGCAGGGACTCGGGATCCACCCAAGGAGGGCACCCTGCCCTCCCCACCATGCAGAGGAGACAGTGCTGTAGTAAAATGTCCACCTGCATGCCGGCAGCCCCACTMGCCTCCAGGCACCGCTTCTTGCCTGTTTCTAATTCCACATAGGATGACCGTGCTGACACCCCAGAGCCGGGCAGATGCTGCCATCGCCTCAGAGCCTATAGACGTATCCCTTGGATGCCACAGTGGGAGGTGGCCGGGCCTCCCCTTTGAACCAACCCAGGAAGAAAGATGGCCCAGAAAAAAAACAAAAAAGCCAAGCCAGTACACTAGTACTCAGAGCCACACCATCAGGAAACGCTGAGGTCCTGGAGCAGGACAGGAGGGGGTGTACGGCCGTGAGTGGAGAAGGCAGGGTTCCCCSAGGGTCCACCTCACCCCACAGGTCAGAACAGCAAACCCACTAGCAAGCAGCCCAGGCACTCTTCAGCTCAGCGGGGGCCTGCAGGCATCTCCCTTTCTGCCCCCAGAGTTCCCTTGCCACTTTCACAGCTCCTCCCCAAATGTCTCTCCTGCAGAACCTCTCAGCAAAAGGTGGAGACCTCTGGCATTAAATGTAGAGTCCACCCTATATTCTGTCCTGCTAGGCTCCAAGGTGGGCAGAGGGTCCTGGCCCCAGGCTATGAAGACGAAACAGAAATGGGGGAGATGCAGAAAACAGGCACTTTCCGTGCCCACTACCCTACTCCCTCCTCCTCTCCAGCCTCCAAGTCCAGCTCCTCACAACCCAAGGGTGGAAGCTTAGTCCCTCCTTTTGGTATTGGAGACCCTGCAATGTGTCTGGGGCTTGCCTGCAGAGCCATCTCCAAGACCACCTCTGCTGCAAGGCCCTGGCCAACTCTGTTCCTTCCCTGAGAGGCTGTGGAACAAGTCCCCTCTGGGTGCCGGTACCCCTAAGGGATCCCCACAATGACCCTCAGGAGGCAGCCGGGCATCCTTTTCCCAAACCAGAGCAGATAAGTCACCTGCTAAGAGACAGACAGGATGGATGCTCCATCCAAATGCAGCCCCACATCACCACCTTTGCTTCCCCTCTACTTTCTGAAGGAGTGAATACGCCAACCGCCAGCCCGGTGGGGTCCCAGAGAAGGGCTGGCAGAGAAAGATGACCAGGGCGCAGATAGTATGCGGATTCCCCAGACACCCAGGGCTGGACTGCTTTGCGCTTCGACCCCGCGCACCTCCGGGGATGCCTCACGAGGTATAGGAAATGGGCCACACGCTGACGAAAAGTGGTGGGATCCCTTCTCCACGCCTCTCCGCTCGAGGCTCAGGCCCCAACCCGCACTCCCGACGCGCCCTCCCCCTCGAAAAATAGAGAACGGAGGAAAGAAAATGTGCCAGGCACCCCCACCCGGGCCCGGAGCCAGAAACTTAGCCGCCCTCGTGGGAGAATCCGCGCGGCCACCCAGGAGGCAGAGACCCGGATCCTCCTCCCTCTTCACAGATAAGGAAACTGAGGCTGGGGGAGGGGGAGAACCAAGAAGAACCTCGGAACCGGATGCTCCAACCACCTGCCCTCCACCCACATCAGGACGCAAGACAGAAAGGAACTTGAAACGAGACCCAGGGACGGTCAGGCGGAGAGCGATCGCGCCCGCTGACCCCGCCGCGCCGGCGCCCCGCTCTGCCGGAGCCCCGCCACCGCCCTCAGCTCACAGCCCGACCGCGTGGCCGCCACGCCCCCCGCGGGCCCCACCCACCGAGGCCACGCCCTCCCGGCGGCGCGGCGACGGCCCGGGCGCGCCCCCCTCCCCGCCCCCCACGCGCCACGCAGTTTCGGGGTCCCGGCGGGGGAGGGGGCTTGGGAGGCCACCCCCGCGCGGTCGGGGATCGCGTCCGCGCTCACCTGTGTGTGTCCGCAGGTGCGACTTTAAGTGCGAGGACTTGTAGTAGGCTTTGGCGCAGCCCGGGAAGGGACAGCGGTGGCTCTTGGCGGCGGCGGCCGGCGCGGCGCCGGGGGCGCGGCCMGAGGACGGGGAAGAGGCGGCTGAAGACGAGGAGGCGGGCGAGCCACCCCCCGGGGCGGCTCCGGGCCCGCCGCGCAGATCGGCCAGGATGCTGGCGGCCAGCAGGTGGGGCGCCGCGGCACCGCCAGCTCCCGGGCCCACGGCGGGCGGAGGCGGCGGCCCCGGGGTCCCGGGCGGGGCGGCCTCCCGGCGCGCCGCGCGCACATCCAGGCCGGCAGCCGGGCCCGCGCCCTCGGGGCCGGACCGCCCGCGGTGTACCACGGCGCCGGAGGAGATGGCCATGAGCACGTCGGCGGCGAAATAATCAACGCACGCCACGGCCGCCGACATGCCGGGCAAGGACGTGCGGTGCAGGCGCAGTGGACTGAGCGGAGGCGGCCGGAGCTGAGCCCGTCCTGCCGGTAGCGGCTGCTCGAGTGCAGGAGGCGGAGGAGGAGGAGGAGGAGGAGGCTCGGCGCGCGCCGCCGCCGCCGCCGCCCGCGCTCGGCCCGCCCCGCCCCGCCTGACGCGCCCTGACGCACCGGAGCCCGCGGGGGCGGCCGAGGCCCGCCCCGCCCGGAGGACGCCCCCTCGGGGCGACACGGCCACGCCCCCCGCCGGGCGCGCCCTCCACCGCCCTAGGAGCCGCGCGCGGGCTCTGGGGGCGGGGCTCAGGTCAGAGAAGCCCGCCCCCTCGGTGCGTCCACTCCTGCGCAGGAGATCGCCGGGGTCTCCAGCCTCGAGGGCGCCCTCTCCATCCTAGGGCGCGAGACCGGGGAGCCCCGCCCTGTCCAGGCGCACGTCCCGTGCCCTTCCCAGAGAACCCCCTCCCCACACCGGGAAGCGAGGCTGGCGAACCCCGCCCGCACTCCGGCACGCCCCTCTCCCCGGAGCGCGCCCCGCCCCAAGTCGGAACGCCCCTCCTCCCGGGGCGTACCACGCCTCCTCCCGGAGCGCGCCCCGCCTCCTCGCGGGCGCGCCCACCCCACGCCGGGGCGCGCGGCCGGCGGGAGCCTGCCCCCTCCCCGGACACTTCCACCTTCGTCCTGGGCGCGCCCCCGTTTGCGATGGGGAGGGCTCGGGTCTGCACGTGGCCGCGGTGGGGGTGCGGAAGCAGCCAGCTCCGCCCCCAGGCCACGTGCGCGACCCTTCCCCCGCTTCCCGGTCCAGGAGCCGGGCTCTGACCACGCTCCCGGTCTCCTGTCTCCCAGTTCTCTGAAGTCCTCCATTCGCTGATCCCAGCGCCCCGCAGGCCTTCCCCTGCCTGGGCACCAGGTGTCGCGTGGCAGAGTCTGCGAGGTGGGGAGCCGGGCCGACCCTGCGTGCGTTGGTTCCTGTTTTGCCCTGGGTTCGGGAGTTACTCGTGCGCGGCCCCCTGGGACTGGGGAGGACCACAGTAGGGAGAAGAAAAGAGAAGGCAGGCGAGGCCGCGAAGGGCAGGCCAGGGTCGAGTTGCCACAGCAAGGATCCTCGCCCTGTTGGGACACAAGGGTCCCAGGCGTCGCTTCCTGGCCCTGGGCTAAGAACCCAGTGACTGGGTCGGGAAAACAGGTCAGCTGATGGAGGCCCCTGGAGGACCTCCAGGCCAGTTACGTAGCAGTGAGGACGCTGGGGACACGGGTGAGCATGGTCCCCCAAACGTGCAGGCCGCGGGCGCGGGCGGGCGCGCGGAAGTCAGCCAGCAGACTCCCGCCCCTTCCTAACTCCCGCAGGGCGGTGGAGGCCATGCAGTGGCTGCGGGGGCCCTCCAGGAGGTAATAATGGCCTCCTAGAGCCAGATCCACTGCTGTCGGGTCTCAGAGTTGCAGCCCTAAGCAAGGGGTGGACTGCGACCCTGGCCCCATCTTGGGTCTGTGTCCATCCTGTCCCATCACCCCCCAACTAGCCACCAGGCTTGGCTAAGCCYTTCTATTATCTGGCTGGCCACTTCCCCTGAGTCTCCTTAGCTCCGGGCTTCCAGCATTTGGTGTTGCCAACTAGTATCCCTCAGAAGGTTACAGCTGAACCTTCTGGGGTCCCCAGTGGTGCTGTGGCTGGACAGAGGAAGGTAAGGAGAAGAAAGAGCGACGTGGGAGGGTACCATCTCCCTCCCTGGGGTACCTCCTTCTCTTCCCTGGGCATCCAGTGTAGTTGTAGGTGGAGCAGGGTGGACCCCCTGGGCAGGCCTCAGCCCCTCCCGTCTACTGTGATTGGGATGGTGTGCCTGGTGGTCTCTCCCCCAGAGCCCAGGCCAAGCACCTGTGCAGAAAACAGGAGGTAACAGCCAGGACCCTGCATTCCTTCCACTGAAGGTTACTGGTCCAAAGGCGGCCCTACCTGGAGCTTGAACATCACAGGACTGTGCTCCTGAAACCTGAGGACAATCCAGGCCTATGCAGTAGGCAAGGCGGGTCCCTGTCGGGGTATCCCACCTTAGATATTCCTTGCTTCCATCCATCACCAGGATCGAAGCCTGTGGCCATGCCAGCCACGCTGCAATCAGCAGCCCCGATGGACCACACTCCACCCCAGTGACACCCAGATGGCCTCGATTTGTACAATGGTAGGGGCCTGCTCTTGTCCAGGGATGGCCCCTACACCCCACTATCACACTGCCGGTGCTGTTACCCTCTCCTGTTGTACAGGTAGAGAGGTCAAAGCTGGAGCACCAAGATGTGGAGCAGCTGCGGGTTCTGGGGACACGCCAGGCTGAGGCCAGGTGCAGTTCTCGGCACTGTCAGCCCTGCCTCAGCCCTGCCTCAGCCCTGCCCGGCAGACCTCAGCTCCTGCCTATAAGTGGGGTTGCCCCGAGGGGCTCAGAGACAGGTCTCAGCAGGCAGCAGCCAGATGTCACTGGGATGTGGAGAGGACTCCATGCCAGGGCCACACCTGGGAAGATCACAAGGGTCCAGGGGTACAGGTGAGAATAGATGTGAACTGGGGTACACCCACAGCAGATACCCAGGGTCACATATGAGGATGGTGCCATGCCAAGACTGGTCTCCCAAGAGCATAGCGGGGAGGGGAGGATGTAACTGCCCATGGAGAATGGAGAACCTGTGGACCCAATGTGGTGTCAAGGTCACAACACAGGTAATGTGGAACAGGCATGCGGTGTCCCTAATAGGATGTGAGAGAGGCCTCGCCTTTGGGTGTCCTTCCCCAAACCCTTGATCTCAGTCTAATTACGAGAAAGACAAATCCAGTCAGGGAACTTTTGTCACAGCACCTGGTCAGTCAGTCCTAAAGCTGGTCAAGGGAAGTCTCCAGGGCCTCAAAAACCATGACAGTTTAAGGCTGAGGACCCGTGAAGCTGGGCAGTGCGGGACTCCTAGATGGGGCTGAGGACAAAGGGGACAGGTTTGTGATGGGGAGGGAACATCCAGGAATGGGCCTAGGCTAATGTCCACCAGGAGGCAGGCTGGGGCAACAGGCCTCCACGCCACCTCCCCAACCTCTAACCCAAAGGTTACACTAAGCAGATCAAAATGAGAACACACAAGTGTGGGGTGGGCACCAGCTGCGTCCCCTCCGCAGCTCACCCCAGCACCTCCTGGGGTTTGAACCTGGGGTGCTCACCAGCTGAGCCACATCCCTAGCCCCTTTTGTGACACATGGCTTACCAGCTGCAGAAGATCTCACTGTGTAGTTGACCCAATCCAGGAACCCTGGAGCTTCCTGCCTCATCCTTCTGAGTTGCTGGCATGACAGAAGTGTGCCATCATGCCAAAAAAAAATGTTTTTCCTCCTTGGTACTGGGGATTGAACACAGGCATGTTGCCACTGAGCTACATTTTTAATTTTGAGACAGGATCTAACTTGCGTAGGGCCTCGCTAAGTTGCTGAGGCTGGCCTCAAACTATAATCTTCTTGCTTCAGCCTCCTGAATCATTGGTATTACAGACATGTGCCACCAGTTGCCTGTTTGTTTTGTGGTACTGAGGACTGAACCCAGGGGCACTGTGTCACTAAGCCACACACTGAGCCCTCCCCTTTTATATATATAATATAATCTTTTAGATGTTGATGAATTTTTGTTCATTTATTTATATGCAGTGCCAAGAATTGAACCCAGTGCCTCACACATGCCAGGCAAGCACTCCACTACTGGGCCACAACCCCAGCTCCACCCTGAGCCCCTTTTATCTTTGAGAAAGGGTCTCACTAAGTTCCCAGGCTGGCTTTGGGCTTGCGATCCTGCGCCTCCGAAYAAGGGATCACAGATGTGGCCACCAGGTCCACCTCCTTCACAGAGCTTTACAAGTATGCTCCTGGCTCTGGGCACAGCTTACCAAGGTGTGAAACATGCCATGCCCTTGGACCTTCCTACTGAAGTGCCCAAACATACTCACAAGGAAACCTGTTCAGGCTTGGTACAGTTGCACTGTGTGTAATGAAACAAAGAACAAGTGTCAGCTACTAGATGAAGGGGACGCTGTGCCTGCTGGGACACTCAGCAGAACTGCCTGTCCCAGGGGACAGACTCCCGGTCTGGGGAGAGCCCCGCCTGTAGTCCGCTTTCTCTTTGCACCGGTCTCTGTGTGTGGAGACTCTCCCAACCTGTCAGCAGCCCGGGAGCAGTGAGTGGGTGTGAGCGACATGTGAGGAGATGGCAGATCTGCTCCTCAGAAGCACCCCAGGCAGTGAGTGCCCAGCCCTGCCACCACTAGCACTTGCAGGCACGACCCGTCCCCTTCTGCTGTGCCTGCCAGTGAACAGGAGTCCCCACCACCTGTGCAACTGAGGCACAGTGGGATGAACGGCCTGGGTGCTGAAGGCTTTATTTAAATTACGCACATTTTGTTACATAACTGATAACTTACCCCCATAACCATCTACATTTATCTCTACTCCAACATGAACTCAGTACTTACCACGGTCTGGTGGTGGCCCACATGCAGGACGGCAAGCAGCTGAAACACCAGGCCTGGTGAGAGGGTACAAGTGGCCACCCTCCTCCATTTGGGGCACATGCTCTCAGATGGAGGACAGAAGGTGATGCAGTAGAACACTGCTCAGGAAGCACCAGCCACCCACCAGGCTAGGGGTTCCACAGCGGCAGGAGGGTCCAGCTCTTGCTGGCACATGTTCCCAGCAACTCAAGCCAAATCCAGAGCCCAGACCTCTGGAAAAGGGCTCAGGAAGACACCATCCAGGCTGCAGCCAACTGCAGGGGGTCTTCTCTGCAAGGCTGGGACACGCGGGTGGGGCCTCTGAACCACCACTGGCAGCAGGCCTGCCGCTCCTCCAGGCCCCCCACCCTCTGGAAGATGAAAAGCCCTAAGAACTATCCAGCTATAACAGGGTCAGGTGGACAGAGGTTTGGGGGTTTTTCTTTTCCGGGGGTTGGGGGAATGGGGTCTTGCTGTGTTCCCCTGGCTGGTCTATGTCCCGATACTCCTGCCTTAGTCCTCAGGCATGTGGTTCTGCACCAGCTG